ACCTCCTCTACTCCATGGAGAGCCGGAACAACAACAACAACAACGGCGTGTTGTCAGCCTACCTGCTTGATGTAAACCTCGGTCCTGGCAAACGCATCCACAAGCTCAGGGTGCTGTCGGCTCTCCTGATTGCCATGCCCGAGACTGAAATTAGTATTGTTTCCCCATGTGTATACTTCAGTTGGGTCTGTAATGAGGAAGAAAAACTAAATTACATGAACAACCACAACACAGCCGCCACCTGAAGCTTGATTTAACCAGTGGTCTTTTCTGCAATTAAAAGACAAAGGCATATTTGTATGGCACCTTTCAACAACAAGGCATGTCAAAATGCTTTGCATAAGACATAAAAGCTAGGAAAATAAATAAAGTGCCATATAAAAAGACACATTTAAATAGAAGAGAACAATAAGCTAAAATAGAGAACAGATCAAACAGAAGGATGTCCTGTTCATCCACAGTACATCATCTCTATCGAATGAGAGTACAAATCATTATGGCAAGAAACACGTGACGTAGCACAGGGAGAGTTAAATCCCATACATGTACAAGTGTGAAATACATCATTAAACAGAATGAGTCACCATGATGCCAATAAGCCCGGTGACTCTTGTTCCATAGTTTCACCACCAATGTCATATCGATGCAAGACAATGTCAACAAAAAGAAATGTCTTGGTATTGTGGTGTGTGAGGACCCCAATGAAGGCCACAAGCACAAACGTGTTGGCCTCACAATAAAGTTCTTCTGTATGTTACAAGTGTTGCTGGAGTTTTGACCTCTCTACATCTTTTCCGTCCTTCGTGTATCTAGGAGGTAGGAGAAGTTGTGCCAGATAAAGCCAACTCAACTGAAGCGCTGAAGTCATCAGCTTTCCTTACCGGTGTTTTTAAACACAACGTGTGTTGGTCTGTCCTTCATTGTGAGGTCCAGGACAGAGAGACCCTCCTTGTCCTGTGTGGAGAGAAGTCCTCCGTGCTGAAACAATGTCGAGAAAAAAAGTTATTCAAAGTGAAGTCAAAATGAGCAAGGAATAATCTGAACTTTTCCTTTATTGACACCACATTAGAATTTCCATATTGTTGCATTATTTGACTCATTTGGTAAATGGGACGATAGCACTTTTTTGGAGATCCACGTTAAATACATACCTTGACTAGCGATATGAGACAGTGGATATGTCCGTAGAAAGCGCTGCGATGCACAGCAGTCCAGCCGGACTCCTTATCCTTCACCATCAGGTCAGCATTCCTACTCTCCAGGAGCCACTCCAGCAGGGTCTTCTTTCCCAGCGAGGATGCCAGGTGCAGGGCTGTGCGACCGAAGGCATCCCTCAAGGTGGTGGCGTTGTGGCAGTGCGAGGTCAAGAACGCCCGCAGCTGCCCCTCAGAGCCGCCCGTTAGTGCCGCCACCACCTCGTCCGCATGCTGCTGCGAGCGGCATTTGGGGGTGCAGTCCGGCAGTGCTAGACTCATCCTGACCTCCTCCAAATGTTCACAGTGAACCCTCCTCCCTTTTGTGTCACAGCCCACCGCCCACAGTCGCAAATAAAAACTCAAAAACAAAACAATGCGATGTAACAAATCCAAAACGCCGTCACTAATACGGTGTACTATAACAGAGCTGCTCTACAAGAAGAAAAAGTACATCAAGAAAAAAACGTGCGTCAGCAAAAGGTGGAGATGGTTTGGAGTGCTAGAATTGTGCTTGTGTTGAGGTTCCACTGCACCCTAGCGACCCCAGAGCCTCTCTGCGACTGGTTTCAGTCCACCATGTCAACCAAGAGTTGGACACAAACTAAGGTGCATGCAGCATTCGATGGCATCAAGAATTCAATAAATACAAAAACTCTTGTGTTTTATACAAAATTGTAGATTTCAATGTTAGCAAAAATAGTTTCTTCCTCTAAATACTCTTTTAATAATTTACAAAAGGCAAAGATTTCAACGGCCCTCCGACCTCCTCGTCCAGCAGTCCAACCATCAAACTTGAGGGGAAAGGCCCCCTTTCCCCCCAAAATCCTCACTCTTCTTTTCAAAACTCCATAATTGTAGAGTGCACCTGAGGGGGGAAATTTGAGAGGAGTCAGTGGTGCAAAAACGAAGGCCTACAGTCACACTTTGTGTACTTGCAAAGTACTAAATGCAAGTACAGCTGTGTAGGGTGCAGATAGTAAGATGAGATGCAAAGGTCAGAGCAAGTTTGACCGAATTACATGCTGGCGGAGCACAGATCAGCTGAGTTGACAGGTTTGCCACACAGCTATTTGACAACGCTGTGCAAATAAGACTAAGGCGAATTTAAACGTTGCATGTAGATAATGTTAACATGAAGATAGTGCACCAACGTTACCAAGGGGGGGTTCTCATTGTTGACTAAACAGCAAGATTATGTACCAGGCTAAGTTAGCTGAATACCATTAGCTTGTTAATATCCATGTCAACTGCACCCCAACTCAACCACGCATTTGGTTTCTGCGTAATATAACTGGGGCGTTGAAGCCATTGCGAGCCAATTTCTTACGTAGAATTATCTTAATCATAAATTACTGTCTTTTCCAACATATGTGACAAACTTGCTAGCAGGCTGTGCAGAACTGCCAGCTAACTACTTCACTCATGTATTAGCTAACCGTGCCTAAGCTGGATAACGTCACACGTCAAGCCCCGTCATAATGTGCTGTGTGTTAAGAGCTAACAAGACACCTGCTGTGAGCAAAAGCAACGATAACGACACAGTTCAACGTCGGGTTTGTCAACTGTGTTGTTAGCTCGCGCTCTACAAGCTAAGCCAGCTAGACTGACACATCACCGAAGCTAGCGATAGCAAGCTGGTATGGACTTTAACGTTGTATCATTTCTTACCTTCCGCTAGTTAAAGTAAAAAGAGGACATGGAGCGTGTTGCATCAACGACGTACATCCACTGTGTCATTACTACGAGCAGGAGACGCTGGGCTTTTTTTTCACTAGTGCTAATTTTGACAGGACAGGGCCGCTGAAACCCTGCAGGTTAGGTAAAAACCTTCACTACTTTCGAGCCTTCTGATTGGCCAGGGCGTGTACATCGCAGTATTCTATTGGTTGATTTTTGGGGGTTTGTTCGTTGTGCTCCGAGTATGCTGTTGCTGTATCTATGATGTCATAGGACATTTTATTCTATCTTTTTCATTTGAGGGTTAACATTATGAACATAAGTAGAAAGTTAAGGAAAATATAACTTCGAAGTTTATTTGTGTGATGCAGAAAAAAACATAGTTGTGAATTCATCTTAAATTATACAAGGAGACAACACTTCTTGTACCATTTAAGATGAATTTACAATTAATTCACAAAGGGTTAATGCCATTTACTCTTTAATGGACAGACATTAAAATTCTCACAAAACTGGCCTATGTTTCTATGTAATAAGGAGCAAAAGAAGCAGAGAAATGGTTTGCTTTAGAATACTTTCTGCACAAATATCACAAATAATGGTTAATGTAATGGTAAATTAAAGGAGTTTTTAATAAAGAATAAAGATGATTCGATCTTTTGAGCATACTATACCTATACAGTTGTGTGGGCATAAAAGGTGGATGTAAAAAGCTTGCAGATCCTTCACAAGATCATCATGTCAGTTCAAAGGTTTCAAACTCAACAGATAGACTTCAGGTGGAGTATCACTTTCAGCCTCATTTCAGGTTTCATGGAATTACTCAGATGATTGTCACAGTGGCCGCGGCTGAGAATAGGAGGGGATCAATGGAGGGCAAAGCTAGGGTTACACTGGGATCTATACCGGGTCTTCCAAATATGACATATTGATGAGCACGCCCTCCCTCGCCTGTCATGCATGAACACATGCACAGTTTTGCTTCTCAATGCAATCCCGCACAATCTAGCAGACTATACAACTAAGGTTGCCATTCAAGTTAATTTCTCAAAAGAGGATGTGAAAAATACAGACCATGTAAAGAGATAAAAGAATTTGACAATCGTAGTGTTATCTGAAATAATAGAATGTTATTGAACCATTGATGCTATAACGTTTTACACGTTTTTTTCATTATCTTTTGGTTGAGGAATTATTTACAGCTGCCGAAAAGCACTTTTGTATACTGGATTGAGAAAAACTAGAAAGTGCATTCTTCTCACATCCAGGAGTTCCTAAAATTTTCTTTCAAATGATAACAACTCATCTTTCATTTGCTCTTATTATGAGCTTGTTGTCTATTAGGTTCTGTATTATGTTGTTTTGTCACTGCCTTCATTGGGTTTATGCTTTTGAGACCCATAACATCCTCAATGATCCTAAAAGGGATTGGGGCTTATCTTAATGAGTACTAGTAAAGTATGGGTTCAGTGATGTAACACTATCATCAGTGGATTGAATGATTCATGTGTTTATTTTGTCTTTTCATTTCCTTTAGTCTATGTGTGTTTTCCGCACAGCCTCGCGCTGAGCTGAATTGGCCTGGATATCAAATCTAATGATAGGCCTCATAGATCAAACTATAGTTTCCCCTCAGGAGCCACAAACCTTTTCATTCCCCTACACGTGGATGGGCTAGTGAACACATCTTATTCTAAGAAATGCCATTTGAAAATATGGTTGTGGTTGGTAATGGTTTGTATGGAATTGCAAAACTCATTGCTTTTGTGTAAATGTGGTACGTCACAGGAGCTCCCTCAGGGACCCTTCAGGGACCCTTCAGGGACCCCTAAGGTCCATGGACCCCTAGCTCAGGTTCTGAAGCAGCACTAGTATGCTTGTAGTAGTATTGGTCTCATTTCGGGAAAACTAGTTCTGATTTTCATATCAGATATTTAGCTGTCAAGTTAAGATGAATGTAATAAAAAATAAAAAAGGTCAGGGGGAAATTAAAATCAAAATCTGAACGAAACTTGAAAGAGTTTTTATCCCCCCCCCCTTTTTTGCTTGAAAATGGTACGCTCCCTCCTTCCGATGGTTGTGCACTGGGCTGCTGTGTTTGGTCGTTTCCTCCAGACTCCCAGCGTTTAGGAAAGCAGCGAGCTGGAAGTACGTACGTGGTGATACATGGCACCTTTGGGAGACGGCGAGGGCTTTTCTGTCTCGGAACCAGCAGCCTGAGTAAAGGTATTTGCCAGTTCGACATTCTGAATCGGACTCGATTATTTTAGCGGGGAACTGGGGGAAAAAAATATGATAAAAGCCTGAGGTTTTGGGAAGACGAACGAAGAGGGAAAACCTCGAAGTTTGCGAGCTTCGTCCACCACCTTTATGGAAACGTAGAGTTCTCCCGCACAAGGATGGTTTGGGGGTAGTTATATGGAGTCTGAGTTGGAACTGGGAGCCGTTTTCGAAAGGATAAAGGCGGGAGAGCCACGGTGGGGAGAAACTTTCCCTTGTTGAAGAACAAGGCTGTCGGTTTGCTGTAGAGTAATCTTTACGGACGGTCTGCGCGCACACACACGTTTTGTACAACCCAAGATGCGCCTGTTGAGCACGTCGTGCGGAGAAATCCGAGGGAGAGCACACATGTCCGGAGTGGTGCCTTTTCTTCTTCTCCTCGCGGCCGTGCTGTCCTGCCACGGCTGTCCGGACAAGTGCTTGTGCGTCTCGCAAACGGTGAAATGCCAAAACCAGGACTTGGACGCGATTCCGCATTCTTTGCCGGCCAATACCAAGTTCCTGTTCGTCACGGGAAACTACATCTCCCGTGTCGGGGTGGACTCTTTCCCGACCCGCCTGCAAATGCTCACAGACCTCTATCTCAGCGGAAACGAGGTGGAGTCCGTGGACGCAATGGTGTTTGACAACTTGCCAAACCTCGTGCGGCTGGACCTGAGCAACAACATAATCCAAACTTTCAGCGAAAGGGCTTTCCCAGAGGACAACAAAGTGCAGCTCCTTAACCTCAGCAGGTCTTTCCACAACCACTCCTTCATGGACTCGGTCCTGAGCGTCCTACAGAGCGGACACCTCCTCCAGCTGACGGTGCTGGACCTGTCCAACAACGACCTTGTGATCCTCCCGGACGACATATTCAGAGAACTCCCCAACCTGGTCACCCTGAGCCTGCAGAACAGCTCCATCCTCTCTGTTCAGAACGGGACGCTGAGGGCGCCGCCGCTGCGTGACCTGGACCTGAGGGACAACAGCCTGAGGGACCTGCCCTACGCCACCCTGGCGGAGCTCGGCCTCAAGCCCACCCTCCTCATCCGGCTGGCGGGGAACCCCTGGCGCTGCGACTGCTTCTTCGAGGACACGCTGCTGTGGCTGAAGAACACCACCCAGGTCGTCGACGCGCAGAACCTGACCTGCGCCGAACCCAAGGCCCTGAGGCGCCAGCCGCTCCTGCAGGTGGAGCAGTCGCGGCTGAGGTGTCTGGGCGACATGGAGGGCGTGCTGGAGACCTCGTACGTTTTCCTGGGGCTGGTGCTGGCGCTGATCGGCATCATATTCCTGCTGGTGCTCTACCTGAATAGAAAGGGCATCAAGCGGTGGATTTACAACATCCGGGACGCTTGTAGGGACCACATGGAGGGGTACCATTACAGGTATGAGATCAACTCTGACCCGCGTTTGGCCAACCTGAGCATCAATTCGGATGTGTGAGCGAGGACGGGACACTGTCTATATATATATATATATATATATATATATATATATATATAT